GCCTTAACTAGAGCTCAGTCAGTTTGTGTAATCTCTTCCAATGGTTTACGTAAAACCTAACACCTTTATATATGTGTTTGAAGCCATTATGCAATGGAACGCTGGCAACAAAGCTCTACCTGATCAACACTATCCAAATCAGTCATTTGTTATTCACCCATTCGATTACTAACCAAAACCTCATGCTTTATGCAAAACATTAAATGATTTTCAGCATACCAATCTTTACAGAAAATATAAAAGCCCTAAAAAACTGCACATAAAATTAATTTAAAAAACAATATTCACTTATAGGGTTGGCCATCGTTTGATTTTGAATGATTCTGATTCCTATTCCTGGTCCTCCATCCGGCGCCTCAGGTGGAAAAAGTAGTGCGCTACCAACACTATCTATAGTGGGGACGGTGTGCTGCTGACCTCTACTCAGGACATTGTGGATCGGTGGGCAGAATACTTCGAAGACCTCCTCAATCCCACCGACACGTCTTCCAGTGAGGAAGCAGAGTCTGGGGACTTTGAGTTGGCCTCTCAAATCTCTGCTGCTGAGGTCACTGAGGTGGTTAAAAAGCTCCTCTGTGGTAAGGCTCCAGGGGTGGATGAGATCCACCTGGAGTTCCTTAAGGCTCTGGATGTTGTGGGGCTGCGTTGGCTGACGCAGCTCTGCAATATTGCGTGGACATCGGGGGCAGTCCCACTGGACTGGCAGACCGGGGTGGTGGTCCCCTTATTTAAAAAGGGGCACCGCAGGGTGTGTTCCAACTACAGGGGGATCACACTCCTGAGCCTTCCTGGTAAGGTCTATTCAGGGGTTCTGGAGAGGAGGGTCCGTCGGATTGTTGAACCTCAGATTCAGGAGGAGCAATGTGGTTTTCATCCTGGCCATGGAACACTGGACCAGCTCTATACCCTTAGGGGGTCCTGGAGGGTGCGTGGAAATTTGCTCAACCAATCTACATGTGTTTTGTGGATTTGGAGAAGGCGTTTGACAGCGTCCCTCGGGGGGCCCTGTGGGGGTACTCCGGGAGTATGGGGTACCAGGCCCTCTGATACGGGCTGTTAGGTCCCTGTATGACCGGTGTCAGAGCTTGGTCCGCATTGCTGGCAGTAAGTCGGGCTCGTTCCCAGTGAGAGTTGGACTCCGCCAAGGCTGCCCTTTGTCACCGATTCTGTTCATAACCTTTATGGACAGGATTTCTAGGCGCAGCCAAGGTGTGGAGGACATATGACCAAGAAGCTGTGATACTCGATTTAACTATAGAATATCAACCTGCTTGGTCTTTACTGTGTTAATCAGAAGATTCTAGGATTCTTTGTTTATTAGGGGATTGTACACACTTCGTTTTAATTCAGAAAAGAGTCAGGTTTATAAAAGTAAGAATTTATTTTACAAACAATTAAAACATGACAGGTTAACTAAGCATTTACTGTGATGGATGGAACTAGATGTGATGTATGACACCTACGTGTGAATGTGATGTTGTTAGAACTTCCGTATCTAGGAGAGCTGAGTTCTGGATGTAAAAGAATTAGGTTTGCGTTAAGCTATGAAGATGATTATTATCAAAAACACATCAAACTCTACATGTCGTGTCTACATACCCACTCGAAGACCCTCGTGATAGATCCGGAATGTCGAAGTCCTCGGACTTCCAGGCACCGAGGTCCGTAGAAGAAACTGCTGCACTACTAGACCGGTCTTAGAGTTGTCTCCAGGTCACGAAAGACGGATGGAACTGCGCGTCTGGCGGACTCTTATGGAGTCTAAACAATATCAGCTTGTTCTGCAGGAACTGTTTGCTGTATGAGCTTCGCCGGTGCAAAAAGCTGGAGTTTTTGACAATTAAAATTGTGCCCACATTTTCAAAGTTAAACACATCTCTTTGTTTTCTTTTTTTTTTTTTTTTTTTTGCTTATTTCATTCAAAATAACATATAAACAATAAGAAATACATAACAAAAAAAATTGAACGAAAAGGAGCAGAATGAAGAAAAACATCTTATAATTTCTGCCCCCTTTTCCAGAAGAAATAATCAATACAATTTCCATTTGTCAGACACACATACAGATTCATTTAAAACTTTTTCCTGTTTTAAATTCCAGTGCGATCATGATCATTGATTTAATTTACATTTTCATAATTATTTAGTACACTCAATTTGGTACATTTTTTGAATATATTAAATGACAGTTTTTTTTAATTTCCCTTTTAAGGTTATTCCATCATTTAACACCATTTACAGAAATATTCCATTCCTTAATTTTAGTTCTAAATCTAGGTTTTGTAAACACATCAGTTTCTTTCAGCATGTAATTGCTAGTTCTCTTTTCAAATATCCCCTGAATGTTTGTTGGCTGAGTGCCTAAATTGGCTTTATACATGGTGTGTGTGTGTGTGGGTAGTTTCTGCATCTATACTGCTCTGCTTCAGTCATCTCCCCCCTCCCCCTGCGCAGCGGCCGCAAACTCACTGATGCGCCTGCAGCCTCTCAGAGTTCCTGCTGCTCTAGACATTAAAATAATTATTTCATTTTCTGTTCCTCACTTCTGATTACCTTCAATGGTGTCTGTTTGTTGCAACCAGCAGGTACAAAAACTAACTTGTTTTTATTTGACTATTTTTCTGTCCTGCCTGTTTATTATCTTCCTGCATCTCCTCTCAATCCTAAAGAAAAACTGCTACCTGGGTTCATATATATTAGCCTCATGAGTTACCTTTGAACAGCAGTTCTAAAAGATCTACCGACCGCAAAAACAGCAGAGTGCACACTGCTCGCCAGCCGCATCAGTGAGGTGCGTCACCGGAGGACAGAACAGGTGATGCGCCCCGCTCCACGGCAGCGAAACACATCAGGCACAAATAAAAGACAGAAAACATTAAAGGAAATGAGCTGACATGAATGATCGCGTGTTAAATTAGTTTTTGAGGTGGCGACACCTAGTGTGATAATGTTACTGTGGCCGTGCTCAGGACGCACATGTCTGGAGCGCATCAACGACCAGAGCTTTGCATGCGCAAGCTGGTTAAGGTTAGGATGGGGGTGGGGGAAAGGTTAAATTACAAGAGGGTAAATGTCACAATTTGGTTAAATATCCGTTTTACCGCGGGTGTCAGTACAGACGCTCTGGCACAGCGCGTCGCCTCCCGACACGCAGGGGCTCATCACCTGCTGTCTTTTCCAAGGACTGCATCTTGGCGGTCATAATCACGTGACAGCGACTAGTCTATGACAGGCATTAAAAGTCACTACAGAGAAGTGAAGTCGACTAGTTCATACAACCCCTAGATCCAGTTTTAATGTTCTCATGTTATGATTTGTGTAGCCAACCAGAGGTTGACAAGTTGAGGAATGGTTACCAAGACAACCTCAGAAACACACCTTCTTTGATACCGGATGCTCTGATCTGGTAGCCTGGCAAGCCAGACTAAATAAATGTATTATTTAGTCTGGCCACGCTCCATTGACGGCTCTCGGTTGTGGGGCGGGTTCTACCGTTGTCTTCCAAATGATCTCCGCATTCCACTGGACAATGAATGTGACATACTCTTGTTTCACTCTGTTGCATCATCCCACCCACCAGGCGTATAGAGTGCCCTGATTGGCCCACAAAGCGGATAAAGCTCTGCGATTTGTTCACTAAGCAGATAGAGCACTATGATTGGCCCACCATTATGGACCAATCACAGCTCTTTGTGTTTGAAACCCCTCTAGAGAGCTGTGATTGGCCAGCCAGAGTCCTGGTAGGAGCTGCGGAGGTTCCAATGGAGCATGCCTAGACCATTCTTTGCAAAGCAAGAATTTGGTCTAGTTCACTAGGCTACTGATCTGGGTTAAAGGACTATCTATGTGTCATGAGTTTAACTTAACTTTACTTTGTTCTTGTGTGAGTGCAAATGGTGATGACCTTGTCATATCAACATGCTGAAGCATATTTCAATAACTGTAATCATAACATAACATTCATTTCAAACTTCAATCATTGAAGCACAGATTAATGAAGCATTTCCTTATATTATAATTATAATAAGTAGCAATAAACAAACATTTATTTAATGATTATTTAAATTGTAAGTTTCAAAAGTTCATATTTAATTTAAGAAATCATTCTTTGATTTAGTAACTAATCCGAGCTACAAATGTTCCTTATTCAGAGGCATGAAGAATCCTGTAGGACGATAAGGGAAGCTTGGACCTTGAGGAGAGAACGTTATTGTTGACAATTCGTTATCACGTGTTCAGAGCTGCAGAGAAGCTCTGAGCTCCAGCTGATGGGATGAAGGCAGGCCGATTTCAAGGGAACACATGCAGTCTCGTGTCTCCATTTTGACCAGATGTTGAATGGTCAAACTGTACCTAAAAACTGACCATTGCTGGACGTTACAACATAAACATGTATTAAATTGCACATGAAACAACAGCATCAATAATTGTTCTGCTAAAGTTCAGCTATGTTTGCTGCTTTTTTAATCTAAAAAGTTCACTTTTTTATCTTTGTTTAGCATTTTCCTTTATCACAATACAAACCATAAACAATACAACAAGGAACACAGAGAACATAAGGGAAAAAGTTTACTTTTTAAAGAAAAAAACATTCCCAACTTTAAAAAATTATGTCTTACATTGTAATTCAACTCCAAAATGTTGCTTAGGACTTTGCAATTCAAAGTTTGAAATTTGAGAACTGAATAAGCCTCTTTGGTACACTGAGCATACTCGCCACACCACATCTATACTCAGACAATGCAGCAATGTTTGTTTTTCTTTTATAGTTACCCAGTTTAGAGCTTTACTTTGACTATAAGCCACAAAGTAAGCTCAGCAGGCAATGCAAGCTACATACCAAAGTTATTAAATGCTAAACAGAATGTATTTTATTGTTATACATATATATTATTTGTTTTACTTTTGCAATAATACAAATAGCTACAAGTTAACCTTTATTTTGAAGGCGAGCCCTCTTCATTGCGGAACTTCCGGTCCTTAAAAACAGTGCGGCATCACCCCGCTGACCGCAGACGCGCCGACAGGCGGCTGAAGCGGTCCGTTTGGACACGTAGATGAGCGCGTGAGGGGGAGAGGGTACAGCGGAGAGGTATTAAGGGGGGAGGCAGGCGGACGCTCTCGGTCAGTCCTACCGGGCTTCCCGGTAGCCTACGGGACGCTGAGGCATTTAAACCAAAACGTCTTTGTTGCTGTAAAACCGCGAGAGTCCGTATCGGGAGCGCGCATGTGTTTAAAATGCGCATTCATTCAAACGAGGCAGCAGTTGAGTGTGTGCGACACAATAAGAGTTCAAACGCGCCTCGTTCTACAGCATATCGTCCGGTTTAAACGGAATTAATCTGGTTTCCGTTAATCTGGTGTTCAAAGGCGGATTTTTACATTCACAATCCAGCAGTAACGTGATACGGAAACCCCGTCTGGAGCAGGCCCGTCCATCCGCACCGCACCGCACCGGACCGTTAGCGCACCCGCACACGCTGCGCTCTCCCACTGGGCGCAGTTGGTCAACATGACGAGTCTGCGTCAGAGGAAGGGCAGCAGGGGAAAGGAGGAGGTTCAGACCCAGCAGGCTAACTGTTGCACACACCACCACTATCCAGAGAAGATCCTGCAGGGTGAGTGATGCGCCCACAGGAGCTCCACATCCAGCAGCCTCCCACCAGCCGGGGGGGGGGGGTGGGGGTGGGGGGGGGGGGGTTTCAGGACCGGATCATCTTAGCAGCTTTAGTATTAAAATCAGAAGTTCTGTTACAATCCAAGGTCCCATCAGGACCGGTCCTCTAGCCCCCATCCTGCATGTTTTAGGGTGAGATGCTTCGCTGCTCCAAACAGCAGGTTCACCTGTTCAGCAGGTTCCAGAGTCCTACGGAAGCCCGTTATGACCAATCAGGACTTTGGAAACATAAATCTGAAACATGCAGGACAGCGACCCTCAGATCCCGATGGGGCACCGCTGGATTAGTTCAGATTAGGACTGCAGAACAGAAGCCTCTTGATGGTTAAACTGGTAACCCGGTTCTGTTCAGACCCTTACGGCAGTCCAACACTTGCACTATCCCGTGTTTGTAGAAACATCTGCTTTCATTCTCCAGTTATGTTTTCAGTCTTTATATGAAAATCCAAACACAACTAGTGTCCTCTAACAGAGAGCCCAAATACTACACGTGTAGATTATATTAATCCCGCTGTCTCTGTACAGCTGTCCTTTTTCCTCTGTCTTCTGTTTTTTTTTGTAACTTTAATGTTTCAAATCAGCAAACAGATTTTTGTATCAGACAAAGAAAACCAGAGGAAGTACATTAATGTTCTTGATGCATTTATTTTTTATTCATGGAACAAATGTACCCTAACCAGCCCCTCCTGTGTGAAATCAGACTTTACCACATCGCTAAATCACAAATTAGTTGTGAGGAAGGCTGAGTCCAGATCCACCACCGGCCACCTCAGACCAGTAGAGTTAAGAAATATCTTCAGTGGAAAACATTAAGCAGTGGTGAACCTCTACTGGAGCGGTACATATGCTAAAGCTATTCCATAGATTATTTATCTCCGTTCAAATTGTATTCCTAAATTGGTTTATGCAGGTTACAAAAGTACACAGAACATCTAAAGCACCAGGCCTCATTTGGTTCAGGTTGAGGTCAGAGGTCATGGTTCAATAACAAAGTGGTGTCTGGTGGTGGAAGACGGTAACATTACACTGTGGGAGACTTCCAGAGTTAAAACATCTGCTGACCAAAACTACTAAACAGCCCATCTAAGATTTGCTTCAAACATGTCAGTAATGTTCTGTGCACCGCTGGGTGTGTCTCATTCCATCTGGAGTCTCTAAACTAACACTAAAACATGGTGGTGGTAGTGTGATGGTCTGGAGCTGCTTCAGGACCTGGACCACCTGCTGTAACTGATGGATCCATGAATTCTGCTCTTTAGCAGAACATCCTGACCTCGGTTTTCCTGTTGGAAAACCCTCCCATGTGTCTAAGTTAAGACAGTTCTGTACAGAAGACAGGGACAAAACTACCACAGGGATGTGAGAAGGTACCTGGATCCAGCTGGTGCATACAAGACTTTTACAGCTAGTTAGCAGGTTTAGGGCTAGTCTGTAGGTTTACAGATCGTTAACAGGTTTACAGCTAGTTAGTACGTTTAGGGCTAGTCGGTAGATTTACAGATAGTTAACAGGGTTACAGCTAGTTAGTACGTTTAGGGCTAGTCGGTAGGTTTACAGCTAGTTATTAGATTTACAGATAGTTAACAGGGTTTACAGCTAGTTAGTACGTTTAGGGCTAGTCGGTAGGTTTACAGCTAGTTAGCAGGTTTACAGCTAGTTAGTAGGTTTACAGCTAGTTAACAGGTTTACAGCTAGTTAGTTGGTTTACAGATAGTTAACAGGGTTACAGCTAGTTAGTACGTTTAGGGCTAGTCGGTAGGTTTACAGCTAGTTAGTAGGTTTACAGCTAGTTAACAGGTTTACAGCTAGTTAGTTGGTTTACAGATAGTTAACAGGGTTACAGCTAGTTAGTACGTTTAGGGCTAGTCGTTAGGTTTACAGCTAGTTAGTAGGTTTACAGCTAGTTAACAGGTTTACAGCTAGTTAGTACGTTTAGGGCTAGTCGGTAGGTTTACAGCTAGTTAGCAGGTTTACAGCTAGTTAGTAGGTTTACAGCTAGTTAACAGGTTTACAGCTAGTTAGTTGGTTTACAGATAGTTAACAGGTTTACAGCTAGTTAGTACGTTTAGGGCTAGTCGGTAGGTTTACAGCTAGTTAGCAGGTTTACAGGTAGTTAGTAGGTTTACAGATAGTTAACAGGTTTACAGCTAGTTAGTACGGTTAGGGCTAGTTGGTAAGTATACAACTAGTTAGCAGGTTTACAGCTAGTTAGGAGGTTTACAGTTAGCAGGATTAGGGGCTAGGTTACTGTTTCACATAGATTCAGGTTGTTTTGGAGGGACTGGTTTCCTTAATGAATGAAGTCATTTGAGACCTTTATATTTACTGTAGAGTTTATCTTTGACAGTGACTGAAATTTATTTGCTGAAACAAAACTTTTAAGTGAGTTAAAAGCAAACATTCTTTATGGCTGTGCATTATTATCAGATGTCTCAGTTCTTGTTTTTCTGGTTGTTTCTAGTTCTAGTAACAATAGTAAATGGATTTAGCATTCGTTAAAACAAAACAAAGCTGAATCATGGCATGCATTTTCATGGTATTTTTTTAAAATCTACCTCAGTCTCAGTCCAAGTGACCTCGATGTTGTTGCAGGTGATTGGTCATGGCGCTGCATAATTTGGACATCGATCGGTTGGTCCGTTTCTGTCGGTCTAGGCCTGCTGTGCTGTATCTATGTGGCCACGCTACATGAGAATGACCTATGGTTCTCCAACATCAAGGTAAAACCTTAACTTCATAAAGTTTTATTGTTTTCTTGCACTTCCCAGGGTGACCCGCATAAGCTGTTGTATTCTTGATGGCATCTCCTTCTCCTGTTTAGTTCTCACATACTTCCTGCTGTGTGGTCTGAGCAGAGCAAAGCTGTACAGCACACAGGCGGACTGGGTATGAGGGGTGTTGTAAAGGCTCTGCTAAGGTCCAGGATGAGTTTCTGGTCTCTTAGTTATAACAAGTTCTTTAGGTTGTCTTGGTGATTTCTTTATGGTCAATTTCAGTAAAAAGATCAGTTACTTTTGAAGATGAAGACCTGTAGGGGCATGTAGAGTAGAGAGACGATGCTGTTTAAACTCCTGCTGCAGTTGCCTCATTTGTGGTGGTGTGGTCATCCAGTTTTTGACAGTTGTTTCATGTTCTTTGTTTTTGAACAAAGAAAACTTTCCCTGCAGAAATGAGGCCACAACAGAACCGTACTCTCGCTTTCTCTTCTTGATGATCTAAACCAGGCAGGTAAAGGTTCTGTGTTCAGCTCTCTCTCAGCACCAGTGTTCCCAGTGTACTTGTGCTAGTAAGGCTCAATTCATACAGAAGGATAATTGGCACTTTTCGACAATCTCCACACACACACCCTTGTGCACCATTACCGTAATGGGGAGCCTAAATCTCCTTCTTGTTTGGTCGCACCATGTGTCCCTGGAAAAGAGAGAAACTGAATGCAAGTCAATGGGGCTATGAAAGCTATTTTCTAATCCCGTTTGATATGTGCCATGGATTACACAAATAATGTCCGTGAAATTTAAATACACATTGTAATGCCCTGAAAGTGCTTATTTTCGAACGCCAGCTAAAGTTATTTTAGGTTGTGTGTGAAAAAAAAAAGTGTAGCACTACAAATGTTCATCTCATCAAATTGACATCATCAAACCTGACATGGAGAAGAGGACAGATTAGTTTAGTACACTTCAAATCCTTCCAGAATGACAGGACCATTAAATTTGGAGAAAACTACAAAAAAATCTGGCCATGTGGTAAGTAGCAGCTATGCTGGGGTAGAAAAGACTCTGTGACATCATAAGCCCTTTTAGAAGACACACCATGCCGGCAAATCGGCAAAATACTGCCACCATGCTGCTTCTTATGAATGTGTCTTGGGGGCATGACGTTGAGGGAATTTTGTGGCAGTTGGGCCACCAAGCTTGGTAGTAGTATTACTGCAATGCCTGATTTATGAATGCGTATTATGGCTTCTCACAACAGAGGGTGATTTCATGATCATGTGGGGAGTTACTGCCGAGCTTTGGCCGGCAGCTGTGTAGAAAGTGATTACCATAAATCCTCTAATACAGGCCCGGCCTTTATTTACTCAAGCACACTCTGGTTCAGGCCTTTATTGGATGGAGGCCAGAATTAGAGGCAGGCCTCAATTTAAAATTGAGCAAAATAAACTACTAGTAGAATGAATGAAAACAAGATTTTGTGTCTATTTGAACCTATAAAACACTCGGTTCGTTTATTGAAAATGTACATTTAATATTGTACGTACGTATGCATAAAGAACATTTACAACAAACACCGGTGTTTCAGGCTAAATCCCAGTATGGTAACAAACGTAGCAAACATGCCGGTAGTTCATTGTAAACACTTAGTGATAATTAGGTTATTGATTCAAAACAAAAGGCAACAGACACCTTACCGCTCCAAAGTTTAACCGTTCGTGTCTCGTTTGGTTTGAAGTAAAAAATAAAATTCTCCAACTGTTAAATCCTCATCCTCTGTGTTAACAGAGTTGCTTTACCTTCAGCGGCTAGCGGTGATAGCGGAGCACATAACCTGTTTAGTAGGGATGAGCCGGGTACTCGTTTCAGACGAGTATCCGGTATGGATAAAGCATTTTTGACGAGTATGAGCATGAAACGAGTAAAACTCGTAAATATCTGTAATCGTGCTGAAGGGAAATCCTCTTTGGGTTACTGACTGTCTTCACGCTCTGTGATTGGCCAGTCAAATGGAGCGCCCGCCCCTCCCTACACACAAAACTCTGCAGCCGGGAGCTCACAGCTCAGTCCGCGTCCGGTCCATCCACGCACACACGCAGACAGTAACGACCTCTCTGTGCTTGCTTCACTGTTCACGTTTCTTCAGTACTCCCTATGTTTTCTTCAGTTTGCTTCTTTTTAAAGTTACTTTAAAGTTATTTAAAGTAACTTTTTTCGTAACGTATGTGGTGCATTTGACAAGACAGAGCTGAAAACGGCTCGTGCTGCGTCACTCACTGCCTCCGCTCCGGTCGTTTTTTTTCCCTCTCTCTCTCCTCTTCCGCTATAGAAAAGATCTTTTCTCTTCATGCACTTAAATATTAATGTTCTGATTTTTTTGAAAAACTTGTTCTGTAATTGTTCCTTTACTATTGTGATCAAAAACATTTAATCTCAATTCTGAGGCTGCTCTGTAAATAGTTTTCAAATAAACAATACACGTAGCAACTTCTGATCAGACTTAAAATAACGTATTGATGTAAACTACACCCACTTCCGGTTAAACCACACCCACTTCCGGGTTAGGCCACGCCCACTCTGAGTACAGATACAGATTATTTAGATGGTTGAACAGATACAGATACAGATAGTGGTGTACTCGCTCATCCCTACTGTTTAGTCCTCCGTTGACTTCACCCATCGACATATAAATATTGGACAATGGGTTTCCATAGACTCCAATAACACGTTTTTGAAGAAAAATGGGAGGTGGCCACCACCGCCATTTTGACCGTGTCAGTTCCGTCAAGCCCAGACAATTCCACAAAAGGGAAGAGAGGTGGAGCTGAAAGGCTGGGATCAACTGACGACACCCGGACGAACCAGCTACAAGCTAACCTGAAGCTAACCCAAAGCTAACGCAGCGGTGGGAGCTAAGCTAATGGAGGTAGCAACCTAGCTACAACCGGAGTTAACTGTGCACAACACCAGAGCTTCTGAGTCAGAGATGCGCCGGGCTGACCGCTAGGTAAAACCGGGTGGAACACAGAGGTCTCCGAGAGCTCCACAAGCCGGCAGCCGCACAGCAGACAAGCGCCGCTGCGATCTGAGATGCACAGAGCTGCTGCTGGGGAGAACCGGGTGGAAAGGTTTCCATCCCAGAGCTCCACAAGCCGGCAGCCCGCGCAGCAGACAGAAGCTGCGGTCAGACAGAGATGCGTCGAGCTGCAGGGAGGGGAGAACCCGCCGGCAGCCCGCGCAGCAGTCAGGAGCCGCGATCAGACGTATATTAATGAGTATGAAACAGCTGAGAAATGCTCATTATAGTTTATTAATGTCGAGAATCAATATTATATTAACTGACCAATACTGTTTTAATTGTCTGGTACATGACGGCAATCTGTTAAACATTTTGATGTTAGCACACAAATTTAAGCTAGCTAGCTAGCTTTTTTTTCCGTCACCGAGACACCTGAGGCCTCATTTATACAGCTTGCTCATGCACAAAATGGGGTCAGTGGCTACAGCTTTTTGCTCTAGGTCTTCCATGAAAAACTCGCACAGGGTGGCTGATATCGGGTTACCCATGGCGAAGCCTTCCAGTTGTTTGTATATTGTGTTGTCATATGTGAAGTAAGTGGAGTTAGCTTCCAGTCCTATCAGTTGTGCTATGTCGTCTGCTGTGAGGTTTGTTCTCTTGTGTAAAGTCTTGTCCTGTCTGATTCTGTTAACTACTATGTCTATGGTTTTTTGGGTTGGTGTTTTTGTGAACAGGGATGTGACGCCATGTGAGATGAGTATGTCGTTGTCTTCTATTGTAATCTTTTTTAGTTCTTTTGCCAGTTCTATGCTATTTTTGCAGTGTTGGTCTGTATTTCCTAATAACGGGCTGATGATTTCGCTGATTTCTCTTGCCATGTTGTATGTTGATGTACCTATGCTGTCAACTATTGGTCTAAGTGGTGTTTTGTTTGTGTATTTTTGGAGTTCCGTAGATTCTTGGTGTTATGTTTGCTGTAGGAATCCAGTGTTTGTACAATTTTTCTGTTATTTTGCCTTTTTTTTTTTGTGGTGGCTTCAGTAATTTTTCCATGTTTTTCTTAATGTTTTCTGTTGGGTCTTTTTAAAAAGTATTTTGTATGTATTTTTGTCCTCTAGCATCTGTTGCATTTGTTGTTTATATTTTTCTTTGTCCATTACTACTGTGGTTCTTCCTTTGAATTGAATTGAATTTTTTTAACTTGAATTTATTCAGTCAAAACATAATAATAATATAATCAATAACATAACATTTAAAGTGATTGAAATGGCTCAGTCCGAAGCAACATGCTAATATTTATGCCTGACCTTTTTAACAAATTAAACAAATTCATCTACCCCTTTAACACAAATTGTACAATTTAAGCAAAATAGAAAAGAAGAAGAGAAATATGCACCATTTAGTCAAATAAGTTCACAATACTCTTACACTTACTACACAACTTATATAAACTCTTGTAACCGTCAAAAATTACCTTCAAAACAATCCTTTTAAACAACAAAAATGTACCACAAGTTCTTACATTTACACTGGCATTATTCCATAATTTAACCCCCACCACAGATATACATTTCCTTTTAACTTCTTTTTTTGTCAAAGAAACAATACATTTTTTTAATATCTCTAAAATCATACTTAGATTCTACACAAGAAAAAAAGTTTGTATACTTTGTGGAAGTAACTTCAATTTAGCTTTATACATAATTAGCATTATTTTTTAGTAAGCTAAATCATTAAATTTCATAACATGTGATTTTAAAACAATGGATGTGTATGTGCCAAATTATCTGCCTTATTAATAATACGTATTGCACACTTTTGTAAGAGAACTATTGCACTAATGTTTGATTAGTCAGTCTCCAGACTTCCAAACAGTATGAAATGTGAGGTAGTTTGAGTGAACAATAAATGATGTGTAACGCTGCATAATTCAACATGTCTTGATTTGTACAGTATTGCTATAATCTTAAAAAGTTTTCCTTTAAAT